AAAAAAAAAAGATAAATGAGGTCCTGAGGCACGTAGTAACACAAATGAGTCCTGAAAACATCACATTGAGTGAAGTCAGTCAGTCGTAAAAGGATAAGGACTGCCTATCGTTTATATAAACAAATATATACAAACTACAGGGGTGAGAGAAGAAAGTGGGGGTTTATGCTCAGAGTCCATTAAGTCTGGGTTAATAGTGGAATGATTTGGAGAAGGATAGCAAGACTGTATGTGTAACTTGCTTTCAGCCTGGAAGCCTGCAGAATTTAGCTGAGAGCAGCTACCACTGCTACACTGTCCACGTTTGATTCCAATAAGGTAAAAATTCATTCATCTGAGGTGCTAGCGCACCTGCTGGTGTGGGAAAATTGGTGTCAAGTCCACTCAAGCCTTCAAGATTGGCCTGCAAGGTTTGTCTCCAAAAAACGTGTTAATAACATTGCTAAGGCAACTGGGTGGCTGGAATGAAGGATTACGGTGAAACTGACTATTTGGAACTAATAGGTTCGGACTGAGATGTCTTCTGCTCTGGACTAAATCATCAAACCCTTCACCAGGAACAGAAAGAAGCAGAAAAATACTAAGCACAATGGAAATATCACTTTTGATGAGATTATCAGGATTGCCTTCAGAAGGGATAGTAATCTTTAGCCAGAGAATTCTCTGGAACTATTATCCAGCTGTGTAGACTGCAACATTGATAGCCACTACCCACAAGACATCAACAGTGGTGCTGCCAAATGTTTACTGGCAAAGAATTACTAGAGATAAAAAGATACAATAAAGTATCATTTGATAAAAACAACAAAAAGGAATGGGGTGAACCTGACAAAGAGAAATACCAGTGTACATGCACTAAATTGTACAGGTAGAAATTACTAAGCTAGAGCAAGCTTTAGCCTGTACATATTCATCACAATTTGAAAAAATAAAAAACCAACTCAAATTTAAAAAACCACCTCCAAACCATCCAGTAGAGAAGAGAGAGACAAGGGAGACCAACAGCTCTGAATAAACAGCCAAACCTGAGACAGAGGGCATGGGAAGGAATGGCTCGTTTCTATTGTGTAAAAGAGCACGAGCCAGGCGAACGCTGTTAAAAGTGGTACTGCACATGTGCGATATGAAAAGTAGTGCTCTTAATCCTTCCAAGCAAATGAAGTTGAGAAGGGACAGAGGAATAAATAAAAAAGAAAAGAGAATGCCCATTGTGACTACTCTACTGAATGCAGGAAAGAAACAAAGAAATTGTATTGTGAACCTGATGCAGGACCAAATCAGTACAGAGTATTATGTGTTTCTCACAGGCTAGTAATTCTAAAACTGCACTTGCATTAAAAGCTTAGGGAAGAATTTAGGGAGAATTTATCTTTAAAAAACTATTCTTCTATGGGCAAAACTGTAGAGGTAGTGAAAAGATGAGTGCGAGAGATTCAAGAGAAGGAGGAATAAATAGGTGGAGCCAAGGGCAATTTCAGGGACAAGAAGCTATTATTTATGACATCATAATGTTGGATGCATGGGACTGTGCACTTGTAAAAATGCACAGAACTGTATCAAATAAACAGTGAATGTGAGCACAATTAACAATGAAATTTAGGTGGTAATACTAAAGTTTTAATATTGGTTTACCTATTTTAACTATGTATCATACAAATGCAAGATAAGAATAAAAGAAATAATGTGCTTGGGGATGGTGGTATGAGGAAAGGTGGTCAATGGTAATGAACCCTCTGCACAATTTTTCCACAAACTTTAACTGTCCAAGTTCCAGTTGCTCCACTTGCCAATACTTGATCAATATTTTAACCAAATCTTTAATGGTATCTTGTCATAGCTTTAAAGTGCATTTCCGAGATAAGTAAGAATGTTGAGCATTTTTGTGTTTGTGTGTATGTACTGACCATTTATCTTTTTCATAGAAATGTCAGTATAAATCTTCTACCCCTTTCAGTAGTGTCTAAAATCATTATTATGTAAGCCTTAAATATATCTGAATATTTTCTTTATAACTAGTCCCTGTGTTAAAAATTTCTTACTAATTATTCCTTTCCCGTTGATTTTCTTGAGTTTTATAGATATAACACACAGATAAACAAACAAAACACAGAATCTTTTTGCTTTCTCTGAAATGTTCTGAAGGAGAATATAGGCTATGGGTTTAGGAGAGTAAGAGAAGTCCAGCAGTAATAAATCTCAGGTGTGTGACAGGGCATTTTAAAAAGGGGTCATACAATATAGGATTAGGTATTATTTTAATGACAAGATTACAAAAAAAGAAATGCATATTAAAGTGGACAGTGGACTAGGAGGGAGGGATTGTGTAACAATGAATTTTGTTCTCTTCAAAGAGAAAAACAAACTAGGGGGCAGGGTGGACAGGGAGGAAAATATGCAATAATGAATGAATGGGGAAAAATGAAATGGAAAGAATATGCTGTAAAAATAAGCATGTTGCATTAAAAATCATTAATAAAAACACCATTTAATTAAAAAAAGAAAAGAAAATAATAGAAACTGAAATTCCCACACCTCTGAGCCCTTTCCGGTAGTAAGTGGTGACAGAAAAGTCAAACAATGTCTGGAGAATGACAAAAGGTACAAAAATAATCAACTGTATTTTTGAACTTTTTAAAAAAAAGAAACAATTTCCACCCTTTTCACTGTATCAGATGACAAACGTCTGTAATTTAAGAACTCTATTTTCTCCTTACTCTTGTTTACTCTCTGTAAATGAGTGAAAAATAGATAATAATCCTGATAGATACATCAAAGCAACAAGTAAACAATTTTTTTTTCTGTCCAAAAAAAAGAGGGAAAGTCCATATATGAAAACTTTACCACAGTATTCAAAGGTACCTTTTTAACTTCCAAAGCACATTCCATTAATGCTTTCACACTTCCAACTTCACGCAATGTTTTTTTACTATTAACATCTGCTCGCCAAGACAAATTTCTCAAAACACTTGCAATAACCTGCAAATTAATCAAATGAACAGATATATAAAATTATTTTTATTTCTTTTAAAAAGAAAACTGTAAAAATGCTAGAGGTTAAGAGTAGAACTCTATTAATAAATTTCTCTTAAATGTTATAATGTGGTGTCCAAATGAATTTCTACAACATAAATATCTCCCTTTATTTTGATGTTAAGGTAAGGAAGAGATACTAAATAATAAGTCATAGTTTAATGAGAATATTAACTTATTTTCTAGAAAATAACTGAAATTTTAATTAGTACCTGCTGTAAGTCTTCACTTTCAGATTTAAGTTGAGCCACAAGTGCCCTCATGCAGCCCTTCATAGAGCACAGAGTAGCCTGCAAATGAAAACATGGTGCAGAAATTCATTAGACAGGAACCGAAACTGTGCTTTTACTATTTCACTCAGTTTTAATGGTCTCATTTAATTATAACTAATATTTTATCTTTAAAAGATATAGGACCAGAGGACATACATGAAAGACAAGTATCATTTTAATCTGTTACCATATATTTTTCTCTTGTCAAAATGAAAAATTAAATAAATGAATAAGAATTATAAGCAAAGAGTTTTAAAGTAAGGCCCAGTTATTTGAATGGAACCAATATGTTTGAAACATTTGTCTTGATCCACAGGATTGTCCAGTTTTTGCTCTCATTCCTAAGAGGAGTATTTTCCATTTTTAATGCAGTTACATAAAATAGAATCTCTACTGTGTGTGCTTGTAGATGTATTTTGCCTTTGTTTAAGCATCAAGACAACTGAAGGAGAAAGGGTATGCAGTGGGATGTGAAGTACAGTTTTTATTAGTGCTTAATGGAGAGAGTGATAAAAAGAAAATCAATAAAAATAGTTTGTAGGGCAGTAAATTAGCACATGCCTAAGAAATGGGTAAAACATACCTTGTTGGCTACATCTCCAAAAGTTAAGTTTGTCAAAGCCATTCCAGCATATCGTCTCAATGTAATACTGTAGTGGTCATTAGTAAGCCCATACATTTCACAGTCCACCTGCAATAATTCTGCAATGGCCTGTAGTCCCCCTAATTTAAAAAGGGAAGAGGGAAAACAAACAAACCAACCAATAATCTAAAGTAAAACAAACTGGTACCAAGGAGGTAGCTTAAATATCAGGAATAAAAAAAAATCTCAAAGAATGTGAATAAATCTTTTCAATTTGCCTATAGAATTAAAAGCCACATAAATGATTAAAAGGATTTTATATATTTATTAGGTATAACTGGCAACTATGCCAATTTCTCCACCCACCAGCCTTTATACACTGTTCTCTTGTCAATGATGGAGAAGGGTAAAATTTTCCAAGCTGACTACTACATCTTTCTGAAATTAAGCAATAAATCTTAATGTATTTTAACAGTAGGACTTTATATTCTTTACTGTCACACATTGTGTAATCTTACTACTTTAACACCATTTTATCTGTCTTTAGGAATACGTTAAAATTTTAAATGAAACTGTGCACAAAGCAAAGTTTTTTAAAAGAAAAATATCTAGTCAAACTTTAAAAGTTTCTTATCTTTAACATTCACTCATACTGAATAACAGTTGTGGCTAAGATTTATTATTTTCTAATGTGATTTTATACCACTGGATATGTTCAATCATGCCCACAATGGTAACCATTAAAAAGGTAAATGACAGGAAAAGAAAGGGAAAGACACAAAGGAGGGAGAAAAAAAGAAATTAAAGGTGAAGCAAAATGATGAAAGAATGAACAAAAAAGAAAGGAAAATGCAGATGGAGGCTATTCAGAATAGTGAGGGACCATGGAAACTGGTTTATTGTTTTGTAACAGAGAAGTGTTTTTGACAGAAAAAAAAAAAAGAGAATAAATATAGATAAACAGGAAATTTCTGCACACTAGGAGTCTAAACAGGCCCTTCTTCTGAAAGAGAACAAGTACATTTAGTATTTTTATAAATGATCTGAGAGAGTCAGTAAGCAGAGGAATCAGCAAATTTGTAAATGAGATAAAATTCTACTTTGGGGCAAGAATTCCAAGCCAAGAAATTTAAGGAACACATTTCAAGGCTTTCTGGCTAGCAGAGATGACAGAGTTTGAATGTAGGTAAGTGAAAATTAATTTGGGAAGCTGTTTACCCACCGAAATATAACCAATGAAGAAAATAAAGCCACTATCTTCAAGGATCTTACAGATTTAAAATTATTAAGTGTGATGTAGAGAAACAGAGCAAGATAACAGAGGATTTTACATCAGTCTGAAAGATCAGGAAAAAAGATGAGGAAAGAATATTTGAGACTAAAAAGGTAAATTGAGTGAGTATTTAAAGAGGACAGAGCAGGAACACCAAAGCAGCATCTGAAGCAGAAGAGTGAGCCTGTGTAAGGAACGCTGGGCCTGAAAGAGCACAGAGGATATGAGGATGTACAGGTGATATATGTAAGACCTTACGGACCAAATTTTGGGCAAGGGAAAGAATAACTAGGGATAGGGAGTAGCAGCTTGGACTGAGGATGAAAAGAAGAGTAGTGATTTGAAATATATTTTAAGAAGTAAAACTACTAGATGTGGGAAATAAAGATGGAATCATGGATGACTTCCAAAATTCTGGTTTGAGCAACTGGGATTTTCAGGATGTCATTTTAAGAAAAGAAAACTCAGAGAATAGAGTGATTTGGGGGTTAAGTGAGAAAAAAAAAACAACACCCAACCTCACAGCACAACATCTGAAGTTAATGTCTAATAAAAAAACATTTAAGACATCAGATAAGCATTTTGATAATTTCTAAAATTTGAGACAAAAAAATAGTGTAAATGATGCCCTGCTAGTAGATGATATTGCCGAGAGAGAGAGAGAGTGAGATTGATTGATTCTAAAGTGCTAAGAAAACCCATCAATCACTAGGCTAAAGAGGAATCAGTAAAAGAATTGAGGATCTTGACTCAGGAAACAAACCTGGGAGCGCTACAGACTTGCTGTAGACAGATGAGACTACCAAAATATAAAGTATTATAAAGAAAAGTAACATCAACACAAAACATACAATTATAAAGCTTTATAGAGACATAAAACCTACACATGCCTGGTGTAACAATATTTTGGATACTTAGAAAATTTAGCTATATGGTTTCCAAGAAGGGACTAAATGATCAAAGAGTTAAATAAATAATACTGCCTGGATAAAGGAAACATTGTAAGATTTGATTGTGAAAATGGGGATTAAAGAATAATATAGCAAATGTTTGCAAGATCATGAAGAATATAGCTAAAGAAAATTCAAAAGACGTTTTATCTAATATAGATGGAAGAGGGAGCTCTTTAAGATTTCTGGCAAATCAAAGATTTCAGTGAATGTTAATAAGGCAAAGAATATAATCCATATGCTAAAATGATAACAGATTTACAAAAATATGGTGCAAAGTCATGTCTGACAGAATTAAAAAATAAGATGTTTTCAGGTAATCCAAAGATGATAAGTGTGCTATTATTTTCATGGTATCAATGTGAGAAAACTGGTCTAGGTGGACCAAAGTATTATTTAATCAGGCATTTCATTATAATCTTACAGATAAGAGGACCAGCTACCTCAAATGATATTCAGTAGAGGCCTTAATTAGATTATCATCCAAAAAGATAATGAAGAGATGAGAATTTTTAAAAGTGGGTTTGTTTTTTCTCTTCTTTCTTTTCATTTTACTTACTTTTAAATAATCCCCATTAGCATGAAATGCCTCATTCTAAAACAAGTTATCAGGGGCCCACCATCAGTTTTCTATAGATTGGATTATTTGGTCACTTGTTAAAGATGATTTCCAGGATTCTTCCCTGGAGATCCTGCGTTACTCAGCCATTGCAAGCTAGATAATGTACATGGTTTGAGAAGTGCCTCTGGTGATCATTATGATCTGGTTTCGGAAACACTAATGTAGAACATAACATGAGTTCCTTGAAAGTCAGGACTATGCCATAGTTATTTTATGTCTAGCACTTAGCACAGTTTCCAGGACAGAACTGATTGATATAATAATCTAACATTTGTAATACTAATAGGTATAAATGTAAAGAGATCGGGATAGCTGTATGATCTTCATGTATGGACAAGTGACAGGCTTACCTGAGTGGGCTTGGGAATTTCCCTTTACCAAATATCTGAGACTTTCTTATCACTCGCTACCAGATAATTTGTGTGTTGTATACTATCTGCCCCAATATGCCAAGCTTGATCTTCCCTTTACCCCAATGCAAATTTGGAGGCTGAGTAAGAAGGTAATCCCCCTTGGCTATGTCCCCAACAGTCACACCCCCAGAGGCCCCATCCTGCTCCTCACCTGAAAGCCCCTGCCCTAGCTCCTGTGATGAAATGCCCCGGGTAGCCTTCCTACCTGAAGAAGGAAGAGGAACAAATACTGAGTCTACGTTTTACTTTCAAATTCAGATGATTACTGTGTCAGTCCTAGTCTACAGTCCAATGGAATACAGGGACATTATGTAAAAACTTGTGGTGTTTTAAAAATTGGATTAATTTTCCTGTTTATTCATTATTTTTATTCCCTTCTCATTATTATTAGGATTAGAAAAAACCCCCAAAACCAAAAAAGGCAAACTTTAAAATTTTAGAAATTGGACTGTACTGAGGAAGGAAAAAAAAAATCCCCTAAGATCATACTCAGTTCCATAGAAAGCTGGGGAAGAAGAGAGTCAGGTGGGCCAATTGGTAAGGTTTATGGGAAGAAAAGGAAGGCTGGAAGGCAGGCCTGAAAACACAAAGTACACAGCCTCCCAAAGTGATGACTCTGAAGGAGGCAACACTTATCCTTGGCTGTTTAGGTTCTCTGTGTTGAAATGAATCTCATGACTTAATCACTTTTAAGATAAATGATGAATGATAACAATGAGGTGGTAGGAATACAAAGCGGGAACTGAATGTAATGTCACATAAATAGCACAAAAAAGCAAGGGCACAGCTACACAAAGATGGAAAATTCAGTGTCAGCTTCTTGCTTATGGTATAACTAGACAGATCCAGTTCACATGAGGTGGCTTAGCATGAAGTAATTTATAAATACCACATATGCAAAATAAACCTAGAAATCAAAGAAAAATGCTTATATGAAAAATGGGGTACTGGGTGTGTGACAAATGTATCTGAAAGAGAAATCCTTTCAACATTAATGGGATACTTCTAATTTAAATAGATCTTATTTTTCTGCATTAAATATTTTAAAGTTACTATCATGAATATCCAGTAAAGCACTAATAACCATAAAGAGAAACCTTAACTGTAATAATAAAAGAATCTTAGTAATATTTCTTGAAGTTCACCAGAAGCTAAGTTCTATAATAACTGGTAAAAAAGCCCAAACAATGGAATGAATAACTACATTTAAAAATAAATCAAATTACCCTCCTTGACAATTGTCACAAGGGTCTACACACTGGCAGTGGGTGTAAGAAGTAGCCCATATGATTTTTTTCAAGCTTTAGCTAAGACACTGAAAATCCAAGTTAGTTTATGTTAGGGTAGGGTATCTATGATTCACGATCTTCTCTCCTTTAGAAACCAGGCTCTCACTATTTGCTATAGTCAGGAGTGAGTAGCTTTATATCCTAGTTTATCAATGATCAAAAACTTCATTTATTACAATAAATTTCTACCATAATTTAAAATTCACCCAGTACACTTTTATGACATTAAGAAACATTTCTGTCTTACCAAGTTCATTCATTGCATGCCTATGTTCTTCATCAAATGAAAGTTTCATTAGAACACACACAGCAGGACAGATCTGATGCTCAACAGGAGCTGGCACTGAGAAAGAAAAAGGAAAGAAACAATAATACCTTGCTATTTCAAAAGCAATAATGGTAAAATACTTTAAAAGCATACAGGGATAACTAATATGTCCCTAATGTACAGTAATGTTGACTGCCTCTGAGACAAGAATGAATCAGAGATCCTATGAACAAAAGGCCTGAAGCCCTTTACAACTATTGACATTTATCAAAGTTCATAGAGTTTCTGGAGGCATGTTGTTTAGAAAGTGGATGCCACTCCTGTTTCCAAAGATTACTGAATAAATGAGGGGAGGCGAGGAGAATAGAAAATAGTGCTTTCTCTTGAAAATGTTAATCATTCATCTGCCTTGACCAGGTCTGTTAAGAGTTAAGTGCCCTGCAGGTTTATACTGTGACTGAAAAATTATTAATATGAAATAATGGTGACTACAAAAGAGGACAGTATCAGTTTTAACTTCGCTTACACTTTCTATTTAAACCATGGTTGGGTGTGGCTTAGCATACATGGTGGTACACAAATGTGATACCTAGTAGACTAGGCTTACTACATAGACAAGTAATAAACAGCAAGCACTTAGAGAAAAGCTTTGCAATAAAAGGTACCTCTATAAACAACTGCCAAGGGCAGTTTCAAATCTTACTGGAAATAATAATAAAAGGCAAACACAGTAAGTCAATTTCTAACAGTACTATGAGTGCAGACTGCTTATTTGAAAACAGGTAATGAGTGAATGTGAATCACAAAATGTGAATCACTGAGTACTTGTGGATTGCTGCTGTTAGGTGGCACTGAGTTGGCTACCACTTAAAGTGACCCTATGAATAAACAAGTGATCTGAACCCTGCCCTATCTTGAGCAACCCTCATCATCCGATATGCTCCAGCCCAATGTTACAGTCACTGTGTCAATCATCTTGTTGAGGGGCTTCTTCTCTTTCTTCAACCCTCTACCTTTCCCAGCCTGAGGTCTTTCTTCAAGGACTGGTCCCTCCTGACAACACAACCAAAGAAAATCTAAACGCGCAGTGTCTTCCCCCTTACATCCTTATTATTCCTCCTCCTCCAAAGGATATTATAATAAATTTTCCAGTTACCAAAGATTATGACTACTTCACTATCTCGGCTTTTTTACTTGTGCTTGAAATTTTCAGACAGAAAATAAATCCTCCTTCAGACTTAAGTTAAAAACAACCAACCACAAAAGTAATTTTAAAAAAAAATTTGTTTTCTTTTTTATTATTTTGTGTGTATGTACTGTCAAAACAGATCTGACTAGTATAGGAGATTACCTCTCCTTCTCTAGCAGAGAATCTGGTGGATTCGAACCATGTACCTCTGGGATTGCAGTGCAGCTTCTTGCTACTAGGCCACCAGAGCTCCCTACAAAAGTTGTTTTTATATAGCTTCATAAATTATGCTGCCACCATCACTTCCTCCTTCTGCTCTTTAAATCAATAGACTGGTCCTATGTGTATTTACTTATCTTTGAATTTCCCTAGACCACAAATGTAATGTCAAGGTTAAATAAAGGAAAATGTTAAGTCCATTGCTAGATCAAAAATACTGGGTCTATAAATCTCAATCTGCATGACAAGTTCCTGTCTGGTGGAAAGGAGGACTTTACCTTACTTACTGCTTTTAGCTCTTCACTAAAGGAATGAAGTAAGTTATGTTCCCAGGGGTCTCAGTTATCTTGTTCCCTACTCCTGAAGGAAAGGGGCTGGTGGGCAAGCGTATTTCCCTGAGCAAAGGGGGATGGCATCATCCCTAGAAACTGGGCCTACCTCCTGGGACAGGACGATGCAGTAGGAAGAGCATGAGACTAAGAGCCAGGAGATCTGGCCTTTGTTCCTGCTTCCACTTACTAGCTATGAAGCCATGAACAAATCTTTCAGCTCCTCTGAGCCTCAGTTTATTCATCTGTAAAATGGAAATGATACCCATCCTTCCCTTTTCCATAGGCTGTTATATGGACCAAACAAGATACCAGATACAACATAAAACTGTGTCCACTAAGTAGAATGATATACAAACTAATAGCTGAATCTACTCATTATCATGGGTAATCACTTTTCTGTCTTACTTCCTTTGAAAAATGAAGTAAACTGATAATAAAATTACCCTCTATTGAGCTATAGGTCTAGCTGTCACTCTTGATCTGTGTTTCTTTTCTGGTTGCTTAGATAAACACTCCATTTTCCTTTAGCAGAATTTCCTAGAATTTAGCCTTTAGCTTAACTCCAGTTGGCAGAGGAGCAAGCTAACATGAATCCATGTGCCTATTTACAAGACAATACACTGACTCAAAGTCTTCTGAAGATTTTACATTTGTTTTATAACATGCACTATGACACATACTATAGAAAACGTACTTGGATTTTTGTCCTGGTCCATGCCTTGTTCATGGGCTTCCTGCCACTCCCAACAGGTTTCACAGTAAGCGCGTATCTGTTCCAAAAGATGAAGGACTCGGATTTCACGCCTGCCTCTCTTGTCATCAGGCTGTGAGTGAATGATGTTGTGGAGTGCTGCACTGGCCCTGGCCCGAGCCTCTTTACTGCCCCGGGAATTTCCCAACAATACAGAGTCTTTGTCATTGCCATGTAAAAGCTGGATGAGTAGAGGAAGACATCCAGACTGTCGCATGGATATACAGCTGTCTTGGGAGCTAGACATAGCTAGCAAAGTTCGTGACATATCATCCTTATCATGAGTACCAAGCATTGACAACAATGAATACACCATTTCCACCTGTGGGCCAAATGAGTTTAGAAACAAAATTATGACTTTAATATCCAAAAGCCAAACCCAATGACGTGATGAATGGGATATTTTTGTGACTAACTTAAAAAACAAAAACCCCCACACCTTTCTAAGATGAGAAAATGAATTATTTCAAAATCCATTCAATAATCATCAGTTTGTTATATGAGTAAATAGGATGGTTATTGTATAGAATGTTGAAAGAAAAAGTAGTTTCTTACATAAAGAAAGGGCTATCTGGCAATCAATTGGTGAGCAATGATTATAATGACTGATTAATGGGAATCAAATGATTACACACACACACACACACACACACAGAGAGTAAGGAATGTGCTTTATCTAGTTCTAGATAATATTTACAAATTCTTTTAATTTTATAACTACAATCAATAAACACACGCTGTTGTAATATTATAATTTACTAATATTATTTACCAACAGAATTTGCTACATAGTTTTCAGCCATCATTAATTCTTATCAGATTATAAAATAATGCTGAAATCATACTTTCTCCCTTGAAATGAGGCTAAACATCCTATAATGTCCAACGCAGGTTCCTACAAGAGCTATCTTGCTGATAGTGCTTATGTTGTTCATACATACATACTTTTAGAAAAATGGACTTCTACCAGATCTGGGTTCCAAATCTGGCTCTACTTGCAGTTTAGCTCTATAATACTGGTAAATTGATTTCTCTGAGCTTCAATTTTATGTTACAAATGTAGGAATAACTAAAGAGGTTTTTCCCCCGCTGTAAAGATTAAATGCCATTTATGTATAAGGCAGTACACGCAAGTCACTTAAAACCAAAAATAGTGCTATCAATTCCAACTCAAGACACAGAAGAACTGCCATCCCCCCCCAGGGTTTCCAAGGCTGTAATCTTCATGGAAACAGATTTTTCTCCCACGGAGCTGCTCCTGCACTCAAACTTTCTGTCAGAAGCCAAGAGTTAAAAACAATGTACCACTAGTATGCTAATCATTTCAAACTGGGATGGTATTCTGGTTGCTGGTTTTCATACTGTTATTAGATCTTCTTTATAGCTTTCTTTATATCTTTTTTAGATGTTTATTGATGATGGATAAATCTGGGTTTGTGTGCCAGTTTAATGACAGAGAAGCTGAACTTTTCCTGCTTCAGTCTACTCATTTAAATAAGACAGATAAAAATACGTCACGGCATCAGCGATAATATATATAAAATTTCTAGCACAATATACAAATAAGTATACTGGTATACAAAGAAGTCTCGTAGCTACAGTTCAATTATAAAAAATATTAAATAGCCTACTGATATGATCACTAAGTACTCCAAAACTCATATCCTAAATCAACCTTAGTTATTTCAGTAACACTTTGCTTAAAGGTTCTAAGAAAATGTTGTTGAAAATAACTAATGTTGATCTAAGACATGAGTTTATGAATATAAAATAAAATGATATAGAATGCAATAAGCATAAAAAATTCCCAAGACTTAATTTAAAATGTATTATTCAGTAACATTAGAATTTTATCTTGGTCAACATAACAGTAGTCTGTAGTTGCAAAATAATAATGAAAAAATTTTCTTTTCAAAAGGTATTATTCTCAAGTCCTGCTAATTGCTATAATAACCTAGGAAAGGTCATTTACCAATAATGGGTAATACTAACCATGTCAGTTAGTAACTATTCAATACTCATTGTGCTGTGCTAAATGCTACAAAAGATTTTTTTAAAAGATCTTGTTTTCAGGGAGCTCTGGTGGCCTAGTGGCAAGAAACTGCACTGCAATCCCAGAGGTACACAGTTCAAATCCACCAAATGCTCTGCTGGAGAAGGAGGGGCAATCTCCTCCTGTACCAGTCAGATCTGATTTGACGGTACATGCACAAAAGAATAATATATTTATTTTTTTTTTAAAAAAGATCTTGTTCTCAAAAAGGAAGTTTCATGCAAATCCTAGTGATTGTAGGGTGGTAGATGGGTTGGATGGGGCAGATAAAGGACTTAAGGATAAGAAAATTCCCTTTCAAAAAGAGCGCAGGGAGCTTTGGTGGCCTTGTGGCAAAAGCTGTGTTGCAATCCCAAAGGTACATGGTTCGAATTCACTAGATCCTCTGCTGGGGAAGTAAAAAGAAGAGCTCAAGAAAAACCATCTGATGGCTGACAAGAATTCTGATGGGCATTTTATGTCAGAGCAAAAAGGGGAGGTGTGTACCACTAAGGCAAGGCATGTAGGCAGAAGACCATTAGAAATGGTCAGGAAATACCAAGTAAACAGTTTAGATGAAGCTTAGGATACTTGTAGAAAAACAGATGATTAAGACTGGGAAAAAAGGAAAGAAAAAAAAAAAACCCCCCAACCAAACGTATCTATCTATCTATCTATCTATCTATCTATCTATCTATCTATCTATCTATCTATCTATCTATCTTCATTTTAACTCGGCCTTTGCTTTTTTCAAAACAGGAATCATTTAACAGACTCACTCATCACTCACTCACTGTCGTTGAGTCAGAACCAATGCATAACTGACCTCCTTGCAGGTTTTTGGAGGCTGTAAACCACATGGCAAGAGACTGTGTATCTTCTACCCTCTGAGCTGCTGGTGTATGTGAACTGCCAGAGGGACTGCCTTCGGGTTAGCAGTGCAACTCCCTATGGACTATGCCACCAGAGCTCCCTAACAGATGACAGTGGTGATGAAATCAGAATTCTGTCCTGGTTGAATTGAAGATGGATACGAAGAATTTTTACTGAAGTATTAGGAACATGAGTTTAAAATCTGTTACCTTGGTTCCCAGATGACTTGTAAGCCTTCGAGGAGCAGAGTGTGTGCTACTAGAACTCAAAACACTTGCTGTGTCATGTTCCATGCGTGCAGTCGAACTCTAGAAAAGAAAACAAATTTTATGTAGCCTATTTTAGATTATAGATAAAAATATTTACATTCATGTTAATTTACTCTAAACAATCTGTTTTTAGGATAAGCAAATATGCCACTAGAATAAGAATATTTTAACTGTCCAAAATTATTTTAACCTACAAATTTATTAAGTAGATCAAACAAAAGAAAAAGACTGTCACAAAAGAGCATTTAAATAGAATATAAAATAACCAAACACTGAACAAATTCTAGTAGTAGTATTTTTTTCACAGATCAAAACACATATAGCCACAGTCAGTTACACATAAGCAGACTGATGAAAAGCAATGGAAGAATGTTCAACTTTTTAAATACTCCAAGTCCCCAGAAAATTAAGGTAAATTTTGCATAGGCCAAATCCTCAATAAATTCCAAGTACAGAGAGGGCTCCTGGAAACTTCTTTTAGAGAAAGTAATGAAAAAAAAAAAATTAAATAACTGCAATGTGATATGCTAAGCACAACTGCAGAAGTATAAAATATGGAGGGAACACTGGAAAACAACCAGCTGCTGAGTCTCTACTGAAAGCTATACAAGGAGCCTTAATAGCATACTGCATAATGTCAGGCTGCAAACCAAAAGTGGCTCACCGACAGAAAGAAGCAGTCTCCTCTCATAAAGATTTACAGCCATAGAAACCCAAATGGACGATTGCTTCAAGTCAGAATCAGCTAGACAGCAATGAGGTTTTTTTAAAAAATGGCTTCATAAAATAAGTAACATTTAAGACAGTTTCTGAATTTTGAAGTAGGAGGTTGATTGAAGGGTCTATCTTAGGTATAAAATTGGAGAAGTTGAAGTGTTCTAGCTTATGGTGGATAGAACACACCTTGTTAAATTATGAAGTGTTTCATTTGTCACTTGCTTTAATATAGTGAAGCCACTTGACTTCAGGCAGGAAACTAGCATAACTAGAAAAAAAATCTTTTAAGAAGATATGGAGGATAGGATAAAGAGGTCAAGGATGGGAAATCAGGGAGAGAGTCTGTACAGTTCAAATTAATGGTTCTGAAGATATAAACTAAGGTGGGTCAGAAAAAAGAGACAATAATGTCTATAAAGGATGCTTAGGAGTTAAGTCACTGTCACTGGATGTGTGTAAAGAGAAGTTGAGAGTTAAAGACAACTTGGATAAATGTGTACATAAGTGTTAACGAATGAACACAGGAGAAAGATGGGCAATCTCCTCCCACGTTAATGAATGCCTCTAAAAACTTTCTAGACAGTCAGCTGTGAGCCAGTCCCAACTTGATGGCACACAACAACAAAGAACATGAGAAACCCATGAAGTGTTGACTTTGAGGGTAGGTACTGAGTGTACATCCATTAAGAATGCTCCATTAATGCACATCCATATTTATTGCTGCTTTAGTCACAATAGCAAAGAGCTGGAAACAACCCAAGTGCCCATCAACAAATGAATGGATACAGAAGCTGTGGTATATTCACACAATGGAATATTATGCAGCACTGAAAAACAAAGAACTTGTGAAATATACAAAATGGTGACCCTGGAGGACATTATGCCAAGTGAAATATCTCAGTCACAAAAAAGACAAATACTGTATAATGCCACTGTTATAAAACAGGACTGACATGGGGTTTGGGGGAAAATGAAGAAAACAGGATAAATAATTTACATGGCATTGAAACAGATGAGGGAGAGAACTGTATAAAAGGAATACAGGATTAGCTATTATTGGTATGACAAGAGTCCAGAATAAGAGCTGCATAGTAAAGTGGTATGGGGGGGAGGGTGATGTATAACAATGAAATAACTTCTCCCCCAAAGAAAAATGTGAAGTGGGGAAAAGGGGAGGCGGGGAGGAAAATGCACAACAATAAATGAATGGAAATCCAAGTTCTTTATAAAGTTACATCTAAAAAAAAAAAAAAAAAGCAAGCTCCGTGAGTATCTGAAAACACAGGATGCAACTGTGGATAGGAAGTGAGTCCCTGAAACAATAAAAATATAGTCCATGTGCTACACTGGTAGTATAATGTTGAGCACAGGTGGCAGCCTTCTAAAATAAAGACCACAGCTAAGCCTATAAACTAATGATTAAAAATAATAACAATAAAATATCATGCAGTTAGACAAAAATACTGGTAGATACCCTGTTGTCATTTTCAACCATTAAGACAAAGAGTCAAATTTAAATTCCTTGAGGATAAAACCTTTATTCTGTGCAGTCTTCTTAGTATCAGTGGTAGTCTTGGGCTCAAAGCAGACACCTAAATATTTCTTAAATGAATTGGATGATGAATTATTAGTAAAATCCATAAAATATCAGCACAGAGCTTACTAATGCTGGATGCAATTGTCTTTTAGATATAGATACTTTGGCTAACTGGAAAAGGGCATAGCCAGTGGGGTACAGAGAAAAATCATGATAGGAGGACTGTGAATTATTATTTGCTCTCTGGATGCTATGTGGTTGTTAGGTGCTGTCAAGTTGTATATGATTCACAGCAATCCTAGGAACAGATCTGAATTCTATCCCTATCCCTATCCTATCCTATCCTTTATGACCCTTACAATCTTTGCCATAACAAGCCTATTGCTGCAGTCACTGTATCAGTCCATCTAGTTGAGGTTCTTCCTGTCTTTTGCCATCCCTCCACCTTTTCAAGCATGATGTCCCTCTCCAAGGAATAGCCTCTTCTAGCAGGATGCCCAATGTATGTTAGACAAAGTTTTATCATCTTTGCCTCGAAGGAGCATTCTGGCTACATTATTTTCTCCAAGACATACATGTTTGTTCTTTTGGCAGTCCATGGGATGTTCAGGACTTCAATACTACAGTACAAAAGCATTAACTCTTCTGTCAAATTTATTCACTGCTTACTTCTGAGTGGACAGCAAGTGATTAAAAAGACTACAGCCTGAATCATACATACCTGATCAATGTAAGTTATTATTACTGTATTATCAGCATTTAATTCCTGTTCAAAATCCCTTAAAGTTCTTTATTTGTGATCTATGAGGTGTGCAACATTGGCAATATTAAATTTCAACATCTCTGACTCATGGATGAGTTTTTCTGATGTTCCTGCCAAATGGATGAGATGGTTTTAACACTAGTCTCGGTCATCATCTTATCCTCATCAAATGACTGGTGTTGTATTAACTCAGAAATTTTTCGCCTGTCACCCAAATGATTTTTTTTTTTAGAACTTTCTCCCAAAAGATGCAATGTTCTAGATACAATGATGGTTATAAGTATGGCTCATCATAACTTAAACACATACTTTAGTCAGGGATTACCTGTTCTACACTAGCTATTTTGGGTGCAATGGTGAGCAAGAGCAGTAATTTTTAAATTGGTTTGTTGTTGTTGTTGATTGCTGTCAAGTCGGTCGACTCTCAGTGATTCTATGAACAAATGATTTAATGCCTTTCCACAGTTACTGTTGTTTCTCCAAGTTCATAGAGTTTCCAGAGGTTATGTGGTTTAGGAAGAGGATGCCACTCCTGCTTCCCAATATGAATCAATATGGAAGCTCATCTCAACATTGTACATAATGGGTAACCATTATGGTATTTGACATGACTGTGGAACAGTGTTCAGCGTCACAGAAATTAAAAGTTGTTCAGTACAGCAAACAAATGTTTGCTGTGTCTTTTAAAGAATATTCATTCTAAAATTAACAATTCTAAAATTAATAAGTTTATTAATATCCTACGGATTTTTAAAGCCACATCCTCAAGCTGGCCTCTACCCTTAGTCCAGGACTCAAGAGCCACCCACTTTTGAGGGAGAAAAAAGAACAGTAACACACAACAAACACGATCCTAGACACTTCCTTTACTTGACTGCTATCCAGACTGCTACTGAGATGGTTTGCATATAATAATTGATTTATATTGTGTCATTTATGCATGTATATTGTTTTATATAATCCTACATTTACATTGTTGTGGGTTTTTTTGTTTTTGCTTTTTTTACCTCCTGCAAACCATGTTTGTTTCTCCAGTACTCTTTGGCTTCACACAATTGGCCAGGAATGGCTGCTTCTCAGGATAGTAAAGTATTAGGAATAGCATGACAGTGAGAGGGCCTTGAGGTGGAGGACTGTGCTTCTTGAGGACTGAATGTGAGTCAGGGTGAATAGCTTGTCACTCTCGATACTGAGTAGACCATCACCTGGCCATGGGACATTTACATGGTTCTTCATTCATATGCACTGTATTTTGTATCATCAATTATCATTGATCTATACTCATTATTACTTCTCCTATTAGAGTCCCCATTAAATCTTCCCAGGAACTCCTTCATCCCCTGCCACCACCAAACTCTGCTATCTTCATGATTTCCTCCTTCCATTCTGGACAATTATACATATCCAACTAGTTATCCTTCTATTTTTACAATAATGATATTACACAGTTTTGGTCCTTATGAGACTGAGTTCACTATCATAAAGGTCTCTAGACTCTTCCATGTTATACAGTATTTTTAAGAAACTGTTTCTTAGAACTGGATGGTATTCCACTGTGTGAATGGACCACAATTTCTCAATACATTCGTTTGTTGATGGGCATTTGGACTAATTCCATTTTCTTGCTATTGCAAATAATGGTGCTATCAATATAGGTGAACATATCTCCTTTCATGTCTCAGTTTTATTTTCCTTGGAGTATATTCCTAGCAGTGGAATAGCTGGGTCATACAGGATTTCTATGTTCAGCTTTTTGAGGAAATGCCAAATTGCCTTCCAAAGTGGCTGCACCACTTTACAATCCCACCAGCAGTGTTTGAGTTCCACTCTCTCCACATCCTCTCCAACATTTACTGCTTACTGTCCTGTTAGAACTTTGCTATTGCTTCTGGGTTTAGATGGTATCTCACTGTGCTTTTGATTTGTTTCTTGTTTATTGCTAGTGATTTTGAACACTTCTTCACGTGTTTGTTGGCCATCTAAATGTTGTCTCCTGTGAAAAGTCTTTTCATGCCTTTTGCCCATTTTGTTACTAGGTTATCAGTTCTCCTTGAGGAGGTTCTGAAGGAATTCTGTCAACTTTCATTATAAGACTCTTTTCTCAGATGTCACTGCCCCATGATTTTTCCCCAGTCTGTAGGTTTTATCACTCACTCTACTGGAAAAAATTGTTTGATGCACTAAAGGACTTAATTTGTGAAGGTCTTATTTGTCAATTTTATCCTCTCCTGGTTATGCATTTCTGGCCATGTGTGCTAGCCTATTGTTTTATGCCATTGGCAAGCGCTTTTAAGTTTGGTCCTATTTTGCCTCGTATGATCCTATGGCTTTGGGCTTTACCCCTAGGTCTCTGATTCACTTTGAGCTGATTTCTGTGTATAGTGTGAGATGTGGATCCTGTTGTTGTTAGGTGCCATCGACTAGACTATGGCTTGTAGGGACCCAGTGTACAACATGGCTGAATCTGTTCTGTCCTCATCATCTCCCACATGCTTGAGCCCACTGTTACAGATCCTGGTCCAGCCCATCTTGCTGGGAATCTTCCTCTCACCATCCTTGCCTCTAAGTAGTACCCTGGTTGCACTTCTTCTAGACTTGTTAGTTCTTTTGTCAGTCCATAGAATAGTTAGCTTGAAACACTTTTAAAAAGGAAGGTGGACAACTAAATGAACACTGAATATGTTAAGTGCTGTGAAAACGTAAGCACTTGAAAGTACATACTATATTCAAGAAAAATGTCCAAAGGAAGGAACATTTAAACTTTAGTTTAACTAACATTTGTTGTTGTTATGTGCCATTGAGTCGCTTGCGACTCATAGCGACCCTATGTACAACAGCCCTAAACCCAGCTCTATCTCTTGCCTACCTTATTGTCTCTGACACACCCACGCCACTACCCCAGTGACAGAATCAATCCATCTCATCAAGGGTCTTTCTCTCCTGTGCTGTCCCTCCACCCTCCCAAGCATGATTTCCCTTCTCCAAGGACGGATCCCGCCTTGCAACATGTCCAAAGTATGTCAGACAGAGCTTCAGAATCCTTGCCTCCAAGGAGCAGCCTGGCTTTACCCTCTCCAGGACAATCTTGTTTGTTCTCCTAGCAGTATATTCAATACTCTTCTCCAGCACCAAAGCTCGAAGGTGTCAATTCTCCTTTTATCATCCCTAGTCCATGTCCAGCTTTAGTTTAACTTTTAAATTGAGCTTAGGCAGAAGAGATTTTAAGGGAAAGAGAAAATCAGGCAGGAAGGTCTAGACATGCTCAAGGAACTGAAGTTGAAGTGAGAAATGAGGGCATGTAGTGAGAGATACTGCTGGAAGGTAAAGCAACACATATAATCAGGGTAGTAGATATACAATGAGCAAATTATAGAACCAGATTTGCATTTTAGAAGGCACTGTGATTAAAACAGAAGAGCCCTTGTTAATGTTTGGCTGCTAACCAAAAAGGTTTCTGGTTTGAATCTACTGATCTGCAGGAGAAAGATATGACAGTCTGTGTCTAATAGACAGCTGTCGTTGTGTACTATGGAGTTGGAACTCACAGCTGACCCTGCAGTGGATTTTTCAGAGGCAGGAAATCGCATGGGAGAGTGCTTGCCTTTCTCCCAGGGATCTCTGGTAGATTCGAGCTATGTGCCTTTGAGATATCAGCTTGGAAGTTCCATAAGGCAGTTCTTCCATGGACTTTCCATAGAAAGGGTTGATGCTTTGAGTTGGAATAAATAGCAGCTCTCATGCTGGAAAAGATGGAAGGTCAGTGAAGGAGAAGAAGACTCCCAATGAGATCGATTGATACAGTGGTAAGAGCAATTAGCTTGAGTATGCTGGAGATGATGAGAATTGCACAGGGCAAGGTTCAGGTCAGCTCTTCACTTCACAGGGTTGCTATGAGTCTTACTCAACTTAATGGAACCTAATAACAACATGTTGTTTTTTAAGAATTTATACAAGGCTGGAGGCTAAAGCAACAAAATTCTGCAGAAACAGAGATATAATTTATCATTTTATTATCTACCTGGATAGACTACAAAGCATCCATGAAGCCAGCAATTATATGTCCTTTTCAGTGCTCTATCTCCACAATTTTAAAAGTGTATGGCACAGTAAATCTCTGCTAACTTAAAAAGAAATACATGAATAACTATAAAGTTCTTTTTTTAAAAATTTTTTCTTTTTTTTAAAGTTCTTAAAGTCAAACCATAGCTGTTACCTGGAACAGAACTATGCCATGAACTGTTAAGTCCATCTTGTGTTTTATCTTTACAAGTATTCTATGAGCTAGATTTTACTACTATCTTCATTTTACTAAAGAGAAACATTAGGCCTTAGAGAAATTTACTTATTTAAGGTTATTCTCAGCTAGTTAGTGGTGGAATAGGATTTAATCTCAAGTCTGCAGATGCCAGAGTGTGAACTCTTTAAGTGTTTACATACAGATGATTAAGAATTTAACCAATTACTTAACTAACTACTGTACATTCCGGTTATTTCTAATTTTTTACACTATAAATAATACTATGAATCTCTTTTATAGAATCTGAGCACTGTTGATCAATGACCTGATTAGGATGTATTTGATAGGGCAATAAGGACTGACAGGCTAGGTACTTTACAAATTCATATACATATTGCAAAACCACTCTTTAGCAAGGTTGTTCTAATAAACATAACATAACCAGCATATATGGAATGTTTGTTTCCTTACACTACTACCCATACTAAGTGTTATGGGTATTATTCAGAAGTGGATTGCTAGGCCTTTCTTCCAAAGCACTTCTTTGTGAACTTGAATCAAACTTCTCAGTTAATAGCTGAGCACATTAACCATTTGCACCACCCAGAGATGTGATGTTGTGTGTCACCGATTCAGAACAGGCTCACAGCTGGCCCTCCAGCACCTAGTGGATTCAAAACACCTACTTTTGAGCTGGCAGCCAACTCTTTACTCACGAGGCCATCAGAACTCCCTGCCAAGACAACAGTCTGCACAAATATAATTTGCTGTAAATTATATGCCATTATTACTAAAAGTCAAATTAATTTTAGAAGTTATTTTTATTTTGTTGTCATGCCCTTTTCCCATTTCTAAAGAACTGACTGGTAAACACTGAATATAGTTTAAAAGTTGCACTGGTTGTGCAACAGTTAAAAGCTCACTTGCTAACAAAAAGGTTAGTGATTCAAATATATCTAACAATGACTTGAGAGAAGATTGGATGATCTGCTCCCAAAAAGGTGAGAGCCTAAAAACCCCATGTTGTAATACTATCATTTGAGATAGATGTGAGTAAAAAACTAGTCAACTACTAACGACATAGATTTTAAATTTTATCTTTTCTTTACGGCCAATCATAAAGATGATTTTGGTTTCTGTTTGCTTCGTAACTCTGCTATGCTTTTTCTGTAACACTTAAGTTCTGCAATTTGATTTAAAACTCAATGTGATTATTTTTTTAAAAATGGTCTCTAACTAGTGGCTCTCAACACTTGATTATAAAAATTCCATGATATTTTCTTCTAGTATTTTTAAAGAATGGAGCCTTAAAGCTTATTGAATAGGTCTGATTTTTGAAGTGCATAAATAAAGTACTATTCACCAAGAGTAGGTTTAACTATAGTGTTTTCTCTTTTAAGAATTTTTTTACTTTTTTTCTTTCAACACCTTTACTACAAATATATAAACTTCCCCAAAATTTTGCCATACATGACAGATATGTTCATAGGGTTGCTATGAGTTGTGCTCTACTCAAAGGCAATCAATAACCTCATCAACAAGACAGATATAGGAATAATACTATTTAAATATAATGGCTTTTGTCCTAATCTACCACACATTATATATTCTGAGTAAACTGATAACTCACTAGTTATCATTAAACAAAGTACATCTTCCAACTCAGTAAAATAAATTTAAATACTCAAGAATGAGGTATTTTTTAATTTTAAATTTTAATGAATAGAAACAAATTTTTAGAAATAACATTAACAAAATAACATAGAAAAGACTAAAGGAATTTTTATATCAACTGTATTTAATGATTATACAAAACACTGTAAGGGAAAATTCTAACTTTTAAGGGCATATTCCAATAAAACCTCTAACAGAAAATGGATGGCAGCTTACCAAGATAATGGTTCTGTATTTTAAAAAATCCAACTGACAATCCATAAGACTGCTAAAAATGACATAGTAATACTTATCTAGGTAATGTCCTTTTATCTTTTTTTGTTATTGTTTGTGGTGTGACAATATACACAAGAGACCAAATCAACAATTTCTACGTGCACACACCAGTGGCACTGATCACTTTTTGAGATTTGCAACCATGCTCACTCTCATTTTCTGAGCTGCTCCTCCCCCATTTCTCTTTACTTTTTATAAGCATTAGGATTATCTTCTTCAGTAAGATTTAGATTTCCAGATTTATGTAATCTTGAAGTAAAACAGAAAATGAGGACTGCTGTGATAAAATTCTTATGATTATAAATTTTTTAAAAAAAAATTAAAATGTCTTTACAAAGAATACCTTAGGGAAAACACAGGGAAATTCAATACAAGCAATAATAACTAGGTCAAATCACATACATAAATGTAGTAATATTTACTTTTTAAAAATAATTCCATTCAAACCACTTCATTTTTTACTAATTCAGAAATGTATAATTTAGAGATATAAGAAATATACTTAAGAAACTTTGAAAGTATTATCATTAAGGTAATAAAGAGACCTGGAAGCACTTTAGTAATGCATCCTTCTGGCAAAATCCGTTCAGGACTAAAGAAATACAAGATTTACAGATTCTTCTGGAGACCTCTTTTTTAAAAAAAATTTAAATAGCTCACTTAAAAACAAAGCCAAAAAAGATTTATTTACCTGACCACTCCCAGAAGTTGCCATGCTGATTTCTGCCACTCCCTGACCTTCATTCTGTCGCTCGGCTTCATGAGCCCCTGCTTCATGCTTGCTCTGAGATGACCTCTGTTAATGTGGAGGTAACATCATTACACACAAAATGGTGTATGCTTTATGAGACTACAGCTTTTTTGTTTTCAATCACTGAATGCAGCAACTGAACAGATTTACAAAGGCATGGAGCTGAGCTTTACACTTCATAACCTTCAGAATGGTGAGCTGTCGACCATCTCGATGTAGAAGGAAAGGGAAGTGTGTCCCCTGAGAATTATAGCTGCACAAGACAAAGGATTTTCTGAGACTCCCAGAAACACCATCCTCCACCAGCTGTGCTCACATCACTATCAGGAATATAACCCAACTAGAACAAGTAACTGTCTTTTCCGCAAGGTCACATGATTTAGCATTTAATGGAGCTGCAAAGAAAACAGTTAGAAACTATTACCTAAGCTTACAAATGCCTTTGAGGCAGCAGGCACATTTATACATCTCCTACAAATAAAAGTCCTGAGAAACCAAAAGATAAGCGCTTAGAATCTGGTATAAAAAAATTAATAACCTCTTCTAACACAAGTACCATCTGTTACGTGAAATGGAAATGACAGATAATATCCAGTCAAAACAGCCATTTCAGAACCTCTGAGAAAATACCAATGTGGTATCAAAGAATAAAATTAATTTTCCACTATCTTTTATAGAATCAATTAAAAATGCATCTGCTCTAAGAAAATTCTAAAATAAAAAATTATACCCTTAACATCTGCTATAACAGTGGATAACCACATTACAAAATAGTTTCTGCTGCGATTTCTTTAAAAAGCAAGCTTCCCTGGATCAAAAATAGAATAAAAGCATCTACTCTGCACCAATATACTAATATAAGCTGCAGATAGGGGAAAGTGGTTTCAGAATAACTTAGAAATAGAAAAAAGTGCTATCTGAAAATTGTAAAATTCAATTAAATAAACAGGAGTAAAGATAGACATGATGAACCTAAACACAAAATAAATTCAAGACTACTAAAGCCACAAACATGTGACACTAATGTAATTGAAGTATCAATATATTTAAGGAAAAAATAATTACACAAAACAACAATATCATCTCACCCCAGTCAGAATAGCAAAATTTAACAGAACAGCAAGCAACAAATGCTGGTGACGCTGTGGAGAAACTGGAACCCTTATTCACTGTGGGTGTGAGTGTAAAATGGTGCAACCACTGTGGAAGGCCATATGGCGCTTTCTCAGAAAGTTGCAAATAGAGATACCATTTGACCCAGCAATTCCACTACTGGGAATATACTCTAAAGAGACCATAACTGACATCCAAGCAGATATAGGCACACCCATGTTTATCACAGCTTTGTTCACAGTAGCAAGGAGTTGGAAATAACCTAAGTGCCCATTAACAAATGAATGGATAGAGAAGTTCTGGTATATTCACACAATGGAATACTACACTGCATTGAAAAACAAGGAACTCATGTAATATTATTCAAAATGGGTGACCCTGGAGGACATTATGCTGAGTGAAGTATCTCAGTCACAAAAAGACAAATACTGCATGGTGCCAACTGTTGTAAAAGGGGACTGACCTCAGGGTTGGGGGGAGACTGAGAAAGATGGGTTCAATAATATATACTGCATTGAAACAGATGAGGGAGAAAACTGTTTAAAAGGCATATGTGATTAGGTATTTTTGTCATGACAGGAGTCCAGAGTGAAGGCTGCATAGTGGAGTGGACCTGGGGGAGGGATTGTAAAACAATGAAAGAAATTTTTCTTTTACTTTTCCAAGAGGGTAGTGTACTAGGAAGAAGGGTTGGGAGGGGACAAAAGTGCAAGTGAACGAATGGAAATGAAGTCTCTGTAAATTTTCATTGAAATTAATAAAAAAAAAAATTACAAAGCATGTGCTATATTGATTACTTGTATTAAGTGCTGCTGGATACAGTATTAGCAAAACCAGATATGGGTGCACACAGTCTTAGATATTACCGTCTAGCCAACAACACTATTAAATCAATAGAGAAATAGCATGGAGTAAAAATTTTGGTAAGTGCTATGAAAATAGGGCATGTGCTATGAGAATATGTAACAGAGGGATATGAGATGGTCTGGGGGTTTGGCAAAAAGCTCTGTTAAAAAGAGCTGTTTGAAGAAAAACCAACAAACAAAAACCTGAATCGAGACCTGAAGAATAACTAGGAGTTAACTAAGAAAGGGGGAGATATAGGGAGTTCAAATAGACAGATCTTATGCAAAGATCTGGGGTAAAAGGGAGGATGCCTTTTTTCAGTAAGTCTAAGAATTCTAGTATGATTTGTAATACCAAGAATTAAGGGGAGAATAAAATGTGAACAAAACAGTAAAAAGAACAAAAGAACAATCACTTAATGATTTTGTTGAATTCTAATTTCATTCTCAGATGGCATGCTAGCTTTTCTATTTGTAAATTTTTGTGACGTCTCTTCACTATGCCTGTAAATGATACTTGTTATTTTGTGTTGCTGAGTCAGATCCAACTCATAGCTAACCTTTCAGTGGGTTTTCAGAGAAAGATGGGAGAAGGCTGTCCACCTTTCTTCCATGAAAAGTTCTGCATCTGGACTGCTATCTTTAGGGTTGGAAGCACAGCTACCTACCACTAGGTCCCTAGAGCTCTGTATTGTTAGGTGCAGCGGAGTTGAACAGAACTTAAAGCAACCCTGTGACAACAGATCTGAACCCTGCCCTATGCTGTGCCATCCTCATCACCTATGATATATTTCAGGCCATTGTTACAGTCATTATGTCAAGCTATCTTTTTCAGAGTCTTTTTATCTTTCTGTGACCCTGTATATCTTTATATATTTCAGCCCATTGTTACAGTCATTATGTCAAGCTATCTTTTTCAGAGTCTTTTTCTCTTTCTGCGACCCTGTAGCTTTCCAAGCATGATGTCTTTTTCCAAGCCTCCTAAAAATATGCTCAAACAATGTGATTCTAAGTTTCATCATCTTTGCTGCTAAGGAGCATCCTGGTTGCACTTTATCCAGGATGTATTAACTGTTCTTGTGGCAGTTCATGGGATAGTCAGCACTCTTTTCCAACACCACAATTCAAAGGCATCAATTTTTCTTCTGTCATCATTAGTCACTGTCTAACTTTCACATGTGTAATCAATTTCAGACATTAATAACAACAATTTTCCATTTCTTAATCTTTGGCTAGTAGTTAGTGTCTTTGGCTAGTAGTTAGTGTGTAAATGAAAAGAAAATAACTGGTTTTCCATGGAGGCATATGGCTATTATGCCATCACTGACAGCACTTGTACTTTAGGGAAGATGTTGAAATCTTCTCTTTGATGATGAATATAATGTCATTTCTCTTTGTCATTGTGAGCACAGAATATTCAAAACACAGTCAATACTAGTTCATTTCAGCTCAATAATCTAAGGATATGTATTTTCAATCATGTCGTATTATTTTTTATAATTTTCAACTTTCCTAGATTCATACTTCAAAAATTCCTTTAGATTCTTAATGATATCTGAAGCTGTTTTTTCTCATTCTGAATCATGCCCCTTTAGCAGATGAAGGTATTAAAAGCTTTATTCCATCCATAACATGAAGGCTGGCTCTATTTTGAGGAGCCAGCTATTCCTCAGTCATAATGAATACTTTTCAGTATGAAAGGCTCATCTTCTGGTACTGTGTAAGACACTGTTATTTAAAAGATTTCAACTGGTATTTAAAATTTTTAAAAAGTAGATTGTGAGGTCCTTCTTCCTAGTCTGTTCCCAGTTTAACAGCTCTTCTGGTACCTGTCCACCAGCTTATAACTCTGCTAGTACTGGAAATAATGCTGTTCTAGCCCCCAGCATCACAACATGTGGGCATCATAGTACGATAATCTGACAGAGGAGTGGATGAATGACAGGCAACTTAAAGTCATTAATACATTGCTGTCGAGTTGATTCCAATTCAGAATATAACTGTCTCATAGGGCTTCTCAAGCAGGAAGGATGAAGAAGAATGATGTCTCTGAATTGTGGTGAAAAAGGATACAGAATATCTCATAGACTGCCCAAAGAACAAACATATCTTTCTTGGAGGCAGAGCAACAAGGGTGACAATTAGAGGCAAGGATGGAGAAATTTTGTTTTACATACTTTTTGCTTGCTGTCAGGAGGGCTCATTCCTTGGGAAAAGACATTATGCTTAAAAAGGCAGAAGATCAGGGAAAGAGACTGATTCTAATGAAGCTTGTCTTCAACACAGAGACTAACAACAGCTCAAGCATTTCAGAGATCACAAGAATAGGGCAAGGCACAGAACTGTTGTTCACAGTATGATTTGTAGCTGATTTGATGCAGCAGCAACAACAGCAACAACAACAACAACAATCTTTACAAAAATTGTCAACTTTTTTTATTCGCTTTTTAGCACCACAGCACTATAATTAAGTCATAAGGAAGATACAACAATTAGGTATCACTTCACACCCTTTCTCTTGTTTGAAGCAATTGGATTCCAGAGGTAGGTCATTTTGATTTCATTAACAATAAAGTGTAAGATGCTTGGTTGTTTATATTTAATTAACAGTCAGGTTAAGCTATTTGGTTATTCTGATTGTGTTTAAACCAATTAGGACTCAGTGGGCTGGTCTTTGTGATTAACCATGGGTTTTTATCACCCTTTGCCCTCATGCCTGGTGTGAAGGCTGATTTGCTAATAGAGTTACAAACTAAGTTGGCAATTTGTTGTGTTTGGAGTGAATATTGTTCTAATTGGTACAGTACTGATACTCTTCAAAATTGAAGACATCTCTTGAACTCACACTCACTGCGACCCTCCATCAATCTTTACAGGCTGTAAATCAAGACTGAAAGATCTAATGATGGATTTGAACTGCCAGAGAGTCACAGCCTTTAGCAACTAGTCACAGTAATTAGAAACTTGCTAATTACTACACCACCAGTAGGAACTAAAATAGATACTTTTAATTATTTGTCACAGATTATTCAAGTAATCTAAAAGGTGGAAACTATCGATTGACAAAATGTAGTAATAGAATCAGTC